TTTAGCTTGGTTTCTAAAAATTGTTTTCTTTTTGGATTGAAAATTTTGATTGCTTATTCTTACTTGAATATTGAGTGCATAATTCTTCCTTGAGCTTTATTGACAAATCTTGATTAAGCAAAATTGATTTAAATGTGATAATGTTACAAATTACATAATCTTGAAGAAAGTATGAACTTATGAGATTAAAATTATACTCTTACATTTGAACTTGAATATGTCATTGTTTTCCTTATTGATTTTGCTTGTGGAAAATTGTTTTGATAAAATTCTCATGTTTTGTGATATTGATTACATATTATTTCTTTAAGAAAAAATGATTTTTGAGCATTATTTTTAAGCATAAAAGATTTGATGTTGATGACATGTGAAATGGCTAATATGATTAATAGATTGGTTTGCATAATTGCCTATTCTAGTAGTCTAAATAAGAAAAATTGAGTTTAAAGAGTTGACTTTTTTTATTTCTCTTTGTCTATGATAATTTGACCATTTAAATGATCTTGATTTGCATTTTAGAACTTGCTTGAGTAGTTCAAATTGGTTAAATTTGGGCTTGATAAGAATTGGCTACTTGAATTGTTACATTATATGAAAAATGCTAACTATCCTTAAGCTTATAATGATTTATGAACAAGGTTGTTGGATGATGAAAATATTTTTTGACTTGTTCTTATTGGATGTGCATGTTTGCTTGCAAGCTTGAATAGTTATAAGGGCATTTTTGGTAGTTGATTGTGAAATATTTGGAAATAACCCTTGACATGCATAAATATGATTCATTACGCTCACTACATATTCACAAATCATTGAGAGCATAATTGAATAAAGTTGAGTGACATTGAGCATATAATTTTACACAGAGCATGTCAAACTCAAATCTTACATGCTTCAAGTGCAAAGTTTTTGAAAAGAGAAATTAAATTTTTGTCAAATGATTTTCTTGCAAAATCTTTTTGGTTTCATTTCATTAAAGTTGATTTATTAATTCTTGACTTTGATGATATAGCTTAGTTGAACAAAATCATTTTTGATAAAAAAAACACATTCTCATTGTGCTTGATTTGTTCATAAGTGCTTAAATCTATATCATTTCTCATATACATACATGGAAAACATTATTTCTTAAGAATGAAATGTTCATATTCATTTCTTGAGATTTTGAATGTTTAAATGCTTAGTCTAAGAATCAATTATTGCAATACGCTTCGAGTTTGTGCTTAATTGATTGTCTCAAAATTGATTATGCATACGAATGTGATTAGGATGAACTAATTGACCTTTATGAAAATCATTTTTAGTTCATCTATCATTTTGGTCAAGTCACATACTCACATGATATTTAATCTCGCTTGACCTTAATGTTTGAAGTTTAAAACTTGACGTTAGTTTTGCTCTTGAATATGAATTTGATTGTCAAGTTTGATCATGATATATATTTTAATGACATAGTTGAATTATCTTTTAAACATGTATTTAAATGTTAACTGTCTTCCATGAGTTTAAATGTCTACATTATATAAGGACTTTGTGTGCATCCAACTTAAGCTTATAGGTTACCAATTGAATGCTTATCTTTTAACCCTAAGAATATTATTTATTAATGTTTGGATGCTTGTTTATAACATAAGAGTCAAAGTTGGTCAGTTTGATTAAATTTTTTAAGAAAGTCAGTTAATGAAATTTTCTAATTGAATTAATTGATGTAACCAACTACTCACCCCTCCTTGCCCATATTAGAATGATTTATTGCTCTAGTATAGACAAGCATATGTCACGGGGTGATACTTAAGACCACCTTCGTGCGGCCTTGGATTCAGCCCTTAGCTCGGCAGTA